TCGAGACAAACAATATACATTCAATCAATCAATCAATCAATAGAACAAAAGACAAGTGTGTTAATGACCACTGAAGCAATTATTTCAAGAATGCAGGCTTAAATGAAAAGTACTCAGTATTTAGGGATTTTTGGCTAAACCGAAGAAGATATTTGAAAGAATTTGATTAGGACAGTGGGGAAAAAAATTTCTTCATTAAATCATACACGGAGATTAAAGCAGTGCAATGAATCATCATACAGACAATCTATGGAATGATGAATTTGGAATTAAATGCAAAATGCCGATATGAAGAATAGCCACAGAAAATTAATTAATATTATGATATAGTTTATTAGAAGTTTACCCGTTTTTGCGGGGGGGGGGGGGTATTTGCATTATCTGGTATGCCGCATGTTCTTCTTCCTGTTACAGTATATTCGGTATAATTGAAAGTTTTCTGTTTTTTATTTTGCAATTCTGTAAGATCAATGTTTCAAAATCATCCTTCTATGTGAGAAATTTAAATTGCTATTTGTTAAATTATCACACATCTTATTTCTTTTGTTCATTAGCAGTCCAATTTTGAAGGATATCAGTACTAAAACAGTCTGATATTACGATTAATATCAGACTCCTCACTAATATCGGACTGCCACAGGTAAATTTTTAGACTGCAAGAACAAAGGAATGACATCACAGCAATGTTTTAAAAGTACATAACTTTTACCTAACGGGCCTCAAACTGTCTGATATTTTTTAATACAGAACTGTATTCAGCATATATCCAATACCTAAAAAGTAGAAACAATGCTGCTGTATACTAACATACGTACATGAAAAATACACATATGCAATTGAGTTTAGGTGTATATCGTTATCATCAATTTACTGATTATCTGTTATGACGTACACGTGCAAAAGGTGTTTATATATCCCGATATATTTGAGCATGGTGTTAGTGCAACTAATTTCAAACTAAGGACAGATTAAACAAACATTTATCAAAAGCTGAAGTTTATATTGGAAAATAGATAAGTAAAATTAAGTAAGTAGATTAAAAAAATTATTCATAATTTTCACAATAATTGAATTAAAGTTACAAAACGATGTACAGATTAAAAAGGATTATCAAAGAGAGTTTGATTTTGAACTTTTTAAAAGAAAATTATTGTTCCAATTATTTAAAGCTAAATTAGGACCAAAATTCCAAGCACCCATTTTTTTGTTTCTGTAATCTCTCGTTCAGACCCTGAGTACCTTTGACCATGTTGTTCTTTGCCAGATTTCACCCTTGTAATACCTGTTGTGACCCAACCCTACCGCACGGGTTAATGGCCGTTATGATTTGGACAATTTAAAATCTATTCTACCCCATGATGCTTTCACATATTTTAGTTTTTCTGGTCCAATAGTTCCTGAGAAGAGGATTTTTGAATATTTTTAAACATATTTCAATGTAAAACTTGGATTTCAAATAAGGCCCCGGCCTTGCACGAGGGTATGAATTGAACAATTTAGAATCTACAATGTCCCAGGCTCCTTTCACATAAATTTAAGATTTCTGGCGCAGTAATCCTTGAGAAGGTTTTAAAAGATTTTTCCTATATATGGCAAACGTAGGTATGTAAAACTTTAAAAATATGTAAAAAAAAATATTAAATGACGTTTGTGGTCTTATTTTTTTATTCGTGGAGTTACCTAAAATTGGCTTAGATTTTAAAGAAAACGGTCATAAACTTGCATGAAACATTCTTCAGTGACTATATGTGAACTCGTATATTCAATACTAAGTATGACAAATATATGATAAATAAAATATTACATACTACTGAAATCCATATTATATGTCATATACATGTAAGCCCTTGGGCCCCATATCAGTCCTAGGGCTGATATGAGGCCGCTTAGGTTGATTTTATATATGATATGGATTTTAGTATATGTAATATTCTTTATAAATTTGGGAGATTCTGAAATTGAATATATGTTGCTTCATTAAGTGCTTTGATATATTTTAAAATTACAGCAGACTAGTTTATTCCAGTCCATTTTCTGCAGTTTTGAGAATTAACTATGAAAACGGTCAATTTTTATGATTGATTGAATACTGTTTAACGTCCCTCTCCAGAATATTTCACTGATATGGAGACGTCACCATTGCCGGTGAAGGGCTGCAAATTTAGGCCTATGCTCGGCACTTACGGCCTTTGAGCAGGGAGGGATCTTTATCGTGCCACACCTGCTGTGAGACGGGGCTTCGGTTTATACGGTCTCATCCGAAGGACCGCCCCATTTAGTCGCCTTTTACGACTAGCAAGGGGGTACTGAGGACCTATTCTAAACCGGATCCCCACACTTTTTAAGCCACGCAGGCAACTCACACGTAAGTTTATGTTAAGTACTGGGATTTCAAATATCTTTTGAGGCAGGTATAAACTAAATTCTATGGCCGTTATAATGAGCTTCTTAACAATTATGACCTTTCAATGGATTGTGTAATGGCTGGCCTGTTTCACAAAAATTGTTAATCCGTTTTAGCTATATACTTAGCTCCATTAAATTATGTCCATTCAGCTTTTTTTAGAAAAAATTCAGTCAGAGCCTTTAAACATTCACAATATGTTTTATAACATATTTGAATCAAACATTGCAACACGTTCAACAATCAATTTAAGGAATATATGCTCACAAATAAACTAAGCAAAACTTGACCACATGATTGTTGAATCTTATATCTTGGAACTTTAGTCAGACATATTTTAAAAAAAAAACAATATTTTCAGTTATGATATGCTAGGGATTATAACTATAGGTATCAATTTATGTTTTTTTAATGAAATATATGGAGATAATAAACAGTATTCAGACTCAAGAGTCCATTTAACAATATAAAATATGATCAGACAAATCACAGACCTCCGAAACATCAGAGGTTGGATCAGGTGCAACGGACAAATGTGCATCCCTTGCCGACCGTTAACACCCTCCGTGTGCTCCTTGTCATGATTGGAAAATAACGGAAAACATGTCGACTATTCAGTGTGTAAATAATGGTTTAACGATCCGTATGATACATGTCAGCCAGCGTTTAACTCAATGTTAAACTGTATTTGCTCACTAGGTTATTATATCTGTAAACCTAATTACAAAAAAAAAACTTTGATATTTTTTGTTCATCAACTTGCTTGTCGGTAATTTACTCGTTCAAGAAATTGTACATACATAGAGCATGCTTTTATATAAGGAATCGAGTCAAATAAAATTTTACACTTTCACTCAACAAATTTTCAAGAAATGGCGATATATGAAAGAAATTTAAATAAATTCTTTACGCCGTTTTGATTAAAAATCACAACTTATCTAAATACAATTAAGACCAATATCTCAAAATTGACATCACTTATTTTTCATTCTTTAAGCAACACGATACTTTGTCCTTCTTATCGATCAGCGCTTAAATTATAAAAACTTTTATACAGGAACTTTCAAAAAATTTCATTGCATATTTAGATAAATGTGATACTTTAAAGATGAAAAAATCACACAATAAATAATGCGTTTCCCTCAATAAAAAAAATTATTCAAAATACTCTCTGTAAAATTAGATTAAATGATTTTCCAAAGAATCATAATTTAAGTGTGATTTTGATTTATGCTAAGTACTTATCTACAACATACTTTTAAAAAATCCCTGATATACATGTAACTCATTTTACGAGTGACAGAATCGACAGTTGAGGTAAGCATTATTAAACGTGAAACTTAAACAGGAACGATAGGAATTGAAGGCGTAGGATTATTGTGCTTGCATAACATTTAACACAAATGTGTTTCAGGTGAAAGTTTATCCTGGTAAAATGGGTCAGGAAATGTATGAAAAAGTGCATCAAAATAAGAATATGATAGATGAATTAAGCTCTTAAGACAAGAATGAACACATGGGATTGAACGTTTTACCTGAATGACTCCTTGAGGGTTATTTACTCGTTTATTTCACTTTCACTTGTTAATAAAAAAAAAATTGGTAAGCGTGTAAGGGAAAACAGTCGAACATGACTGATTAAAGGCCTGTCGTTTGTAAAAATTAATAACAAGAAAGAGATGAAAATATTCTAAAAGAATAAAAAAAAAGAACAAATAATGCAAATAGAGATAATAAATTTTAAGGTGTATTTTAATATAAATGTGTCAAGGGACATTTGTTGGGAGTATGACACAAAATTGTCATAAAATAAGCTATGTACCCTGTACATGACAAACAGAATGATGTTATTTATATATCGTCAACTCCCCTTACATACATGTAGTAATAATTCGTTATCACGTACGTATGCAAATGAATGTAGTAATAATCCGTTATCACGTACGCGTGAAAATGTTTACACATGTGTATCGCTCGATATATTCGAGCATGCCTTTAATGCCACTAATTTTTAATTAAGAACAGGTTACCTCAACTTTTATCATTTTTTAAAATACATACTTGAATCATGTTTGTATGTGTAAAATGATTACGTATAACCGCTTAGATTGAAAAAAAAATTAAAAATTATACCATAATTAAATGTATTGTGACGAACCGACGAACGCAAAGAGATGTAATTCCTTAGCTCCATTTATGTATGTCAATCTTCAGCTTTTCAGAAACTTCAGTAAGAACTTTAAGCTTCAAATATACTTGTTTTTAATACAATTAAATTCTTCTTAACATTCAATTAAGAAAACGTGCTCACAAATACATTAAAAAAAATTTGATTTAAAAAAAATGTCAGCCTAATTCTTCCCTAACTAAGTTAGATGCACACTGACCCCAATTTTCTTCGCGATTTTGTGTTATGCTATATGAGAACATATCTGAAATATACTTCTAAATCCATGATGTTACTCATTACACGAATGACAAGTGAGATTAGCGTTATTACACATGAAAGAAGAGAGAGGGAGAGAGAGAGAGAGAGATTTGGAGGAGGTTAAATAATTCAAAGTGTTCACAAGTATTTCCAATTATTTGTCATCCAAATTTTCCTACTCATTAATAGCTATACAAAAGTGGAAATCCCAACATTTATTTCTTTCCTAGTGCTTTCGTTTAAAAGCAAGAGAAGAATATAAATTTATTCTAAATATTTAAGCGCAAAGTTGTCAACATCTTAATGAAAGGTAAGACATTTATATATTTTTCTTTAATAGCAATAATTTCATCACGCTTGTTTCAATGTGTACTAGTATTCTAGAATTCTATTTAAAAAAGATAATTATATTTAATCTAAGCCAGTGCCAATGACGGCTTTTAATTCTACGTGATTAAATAATGATTTTTTGTTTTAAATTTCAGAAAATGCCATCAAAAGCGTGTATTTTTCTTGTGCTCATTCTCATAGGAAATGCAGGTAATTTTTAAAAATTTAATTTGTATTTTTTTTTTTTGTTCTTAAATGATTTAATATTTTTGTTTCTGATTTTGTATTTCCGTTTTTTATTTGGTTTCAGTATTTTTTATTTATATAATTTTTTTATTCAGTAACTCGGTCTTTGTTTAATACTGTTGTAAAACACTGGTTTATACTCTTGGACTTCCTTTTTTAATTTTTATGAATTCCTACGTATACAATTTCTCATCAAAATAATTCTGATTCAAATATCTGGAAAAGTTCACTCATATGGGAAAATTATCTTCTTTAAATGTTTTTTCACTGTATAAACTATATTAGAAAATATTTAATTCAAGCTCCATGGCTTCATTGCAATAATTATATTCCTTTATCCCTCATACATGTCTCTGATAAAATAAAGATATTGCGATGTCAAATAAATCGAAATGACTTTTTCACATACTTTCTTTTAGATAACAAAGAAGCAGAGAAAGCTGACTCTATTACACAATCTGATGATTCAAATCACATTGGTATTGAAAGGTAAAAACCAAAAAATAAATTTATAAATGAAATGTATGGAGACAGGAACATTATTTAAGATCAAAAGTCCATTAGAAGGTAGAAAATTGGAGCGGCGCAAACACGGACCACCGAAATATCAGAGGTCGGATCAGGTGCCATGCAGAAGTGATCGAGCATCCCCTGCTGACCGGTCCCACCCGCAATGTGCTCCTTGTCATAATCGGGAAATAACGAAAAAAAGCCGTCGACAATTGTGTGTGTAAATAAGGGCCTAACAATCAGCATTTGACTCAGTGATCAATTGCATCTGTTGATAAGGTCATTGTATCGACCATAAAACTTACGAAATGATGAAAACGAGAAGTTTTTGTTTCATCAATTTCTTTGTCAATAATTTACCTCGTTTTACGAATTGTTCATACGTACAGCAAGGTCTTGCATATGGAATAAAATGAGAGATTTAAACTCCGTATACATAGAGAAAACTTCACAGCCTGCTTAAGAATATTAATTAATTTCCTTCAGATTGAAATGTCGCACATTTATTGCTTTGAATAAAACATGTGATTGTGGGATATAAACATGTATTTCCATATGTCTTTCGTGTGAGAATTAATACTATCGATATATGCTTTCAAGACTAGGAAAATGCTTTATTTAATTTCAGACATTGAAACACATCAAAATTGTTGCATGTTATAATGGGTATCAAGTTTATTCAACATTCATATACAGTCATAATTATTTCTAACATAAAAGTACGAGGGTGTGACATATGTTTCAATGTCGTAAGATCCTTTTTAAACCAACAATAACTCATTGTTGTGGGCTGCAGCAGCAACAAATCTATTTATAATTGTGTTAGATATGCATATGGGGAAATTACTTTGATGAAAGAATTCCTTCTTGACAAAATACTTTATTGTAATAAACAAAAGATCGAAAAAAAAAAATTCCTCATGCTAAATTAAAAATTTTGTTATTATGTTTCAGTTCCTTGTTTTTATTCAATAATCATAAAAGTTGTAACATGAATCGCTCCCAATTATAAGCGTGCTTAATATATACTTTAGTATATAAAAACAAAATAATATAGTTTCCGGAAAGGAAATGAATAGCAACTCTTAAAATAATAAATAAATGTAAAATAGTTATAAGACGAAATAGCTTTTTATACACTAGTTAAAATTAAAATGTTTTTTTTTTCACTTAACAATACCAACACTGGTCGACATTATTATCAGCACGTGATGTCACTCTTCCATGGCACCTGATCTCATCTCTGATGTTTTGGATGTAGGCGGGAGAACGATACTATAGTTCGCAGTTCTTTGATGATAACACATTGCGATGTTGTATCTCAGTCCATTTATTTACTAGTATTTTGATTAATAATAAACAATTGACACTAACGATTAAAGTATTAAACAATTTGAAATACACAGAAAAATAAGGCATTTGTAAAATATTTCATTTTACCTCTTCTACATGTAACTTTTCTTCTTTGATGTAATTCTTGTGAAATCAATTCATAATGCGTAATATATTTTTGTAGATTATTTCATGCTCTGCATCAAATTTAACTTTTTTTCAATTTTCTTTTTATTCGTAAGAAAACACATATAAGCTGTTTTTTAACGTCTTTTATAATATAGCTTCGATATTCTGAGTCACAAATGCATTTCGCAATCGGTAAAGTTGTTTGAATCTTCTGTTGTAGACTTCGATATAAAAGGGCTCTTTATGGAGTTGAGGATCAGTTTTTCCGGCAGTATTTCCGCGATATAGGGCTTTTCCAAAACTATGTCAACGCCAGATCACCAGACGGTAGAATAACAAACTGGCGCTCGTTGGGTGATGGAACAACTTCATACACTGACGCAATTCGGAAGTCCACTAATTATTATAGAGACCAAGCAGCAAGTGGTGCGTATGATGTAAATTTCAAAGAGAAAGGATATATATATATATATATATATATATATATATATATATATATATATATATATATATATATATATATATATATATATATATATATATATATATATATATATATAGGAAGTTCGGATATGTTTGGTGTTTTACAAAACGTCAAGATGTCCCAAAATTTATGTTTAAATAGCTTCAAATCTTTGAGGTATAAAGTTAAAACTTTTACAGTTTATAGATATATTATTCATCAACAGATGGAACGTATCAATTGAAAACAAATAATTAAAGATATATTTTTGAGAAAAAATATATCAAAAAAGTTAAACAATTGCACCTGCTTAGTTCTGTACTTTTAGTGAAAACCTTCATTGCAGAAATTGCTCTAGAGTCGCGAAGTAAGGAGTCAATCCTTACGTCGCGGGTTCGAATCCCACTGTGGGACGTGGAGACCGGTCCTTCGGATGAGACCGTATAAACCAAGGTCCCGTGTTGCAGTAGGTGTTGGCACGAAAAAGATCCCTCCCTGCTCAATGGCCCTGAGTGCCGAGCATAGGACAAAATTTGCAGCTCTCCACCGGCAAGTGGTGGCGTCTCCATATGAGTGAAAAATTCTCGAGAGGGACATTAAACAATATACAATCAATCAATCAATCATTGCAGAAATAATATGTGTTTATCAATAAATTAATAGTAATTTTTTAAGCAACGGTAAACCAATTTAATGGTTATTAAATTATACAATGGTGAAAAATTAAATATCAAAGGGACTCTAATTTCGTGATAATAATTATCTCATCAAATAGGTATACTTTGGAAAATTTTATTATAAATAATATTTTAAATTGTTTTGGCGTGGAAGTGATAAAAAAACGATCAAATTCACCGATGCTATATACATGATATACTAAACCTTAAAAAAAGGATGACCAACCATAGAATTTTCAAAATGCTTTTGGTTGTTGAAATCCTTGTCATAGCAACTTATCTGTATGTAGCCTGCCTCGGGTTGTAAATTGATCATTCTCAGAGCTTGTCCCTGAGTATCGAATAAGCTGGGAGATGTAATCAGCATATGAAGATGATAGCAGGGTATTACTACATAAACAAAGGAAAGTTGACGATGGAAAAGCTGAAGTCATTTCGATTGTCATTAGGTTTACTTGTTTGTTGGCCCTTATCTTCAGAAAAACATGCAATTATGAAATGGATCTGGGAAGATCTCTCTTTTTCGAGTTCACTGGGGTATATCAAGTCGACATATGAACGGTTAATGTATTTTTCTGAATAAATGCTAGTTCACAAGAATATAAAAACAGACGGCTAATAGAGGAACAGATCGTTGAAAGACCTGGTTTCAAAGACTATATACTAGATGTTGCAGTGAGGAACTCCAACATTTATTTTAATATCAACCTACCAATAGCAATAAAATGTAAACTTTAAAGTAGATAATTGAAAGGGCTTAAGTCTAGATCTAGAAATCCTTTAATGATGAGATGGGTAACAAGTACATACATTTAACAAGCATGAGTATACCCTCACTTAATCCGATTGGTTAAAGTGTTTGCTCTAGAGTTGCGGAGTTAGGAATTCATTCCTACGTCGAGTGTTCAAATCCCACTGCGGGACATGGATTCCGTTTCTTTGAACGAGACGACTGTATAAATCGAGGTCAGTGTTGACAGGAAAAAGATTTTCCACCGCTCAAAGCCTCTGAGTGCCGAGTATAGGTTTAAATTTGCAGCCCTCCAACGTCAATACCTGGTGGCGTCTCCATAAAAATATGTAAATTGATCTCAAGGGGGGCGGTAAACAAACAAAATTTAAACAAACAAAACCTTCATTTGCATGTTGAGATGATGTTTTGTTTGGGCTTATTGGTCATCTGACAGGACTATGTCAATGCGTAGGTAGCATGGCCATGAAAAGGCGGCCAATAAAAATGCAAAAGGTGAAGAAAACAAACAGTGATCGATCTAAAAAAAAATTATAAACAATCATAAACAAGTTCAAATCAGAATCTGTAACACGACATGATATACCATCCCCTAAAAATTCCAGAAAGTGGGGTTTTTTTCGGGATTATGAAAACTCCTGAGCATAAAATACTGTGTTAGAGAAACATTTTCTTGAACTCTAAACTTTGAAATTCGTTGGTTCTTGACATATTTGGCTTTAATCTTAATTTAACAACCTTTTTTGAAAATCAATAGGTCGAAATGTGGATAGCCAATTAAGACGGGTTCAGCAGATTGTAGATGATCGGGTCGCCAGAGCTAATCTTTTCGGAGGTCCAGATCGAGGGCACAGCTACGCAATCAACAACTGGCGAAATGGACAGGAACAAATTCAAGGAGGCCAGCGGACCTACTGGGCCACCAGGTGTGGTGGCTCTAATGGGCGCAAAAAGAGAGGAATTGGTGCATTATTCCGGGGTATTGCACGAATTTTCGGTCGTCGAGGTTTAAGGCGTACACGTACTGGATTTAGACGCACACGTACTGGATTTAGACGCACAAACTCTTTTAGAAGAATGAGATGCTGATCAAGAGAAGAACGAGACGTTGAGTTTAACAACATTCCTAGAAGCTTATGTAGCAACACATAAAAAAAACAATATTCCAGACTTAACGTTTATATATTCTGTCAAACTTTTATATGGATAGCTTTATGTAATCTCTTTACTCCACTATTATTCAATTATTAGTCGATATTCTTTTCCTGTAATTAAGCATATTCAAAATTAATAAGCAATTATTTTCTCATTAAAATTTCATTATTAAGTGGGTTTGTTGTTGGCTATAAATAGAAACAAGGATTTTAAGATATCATATATTAAGGTAGAACCTATATAATGTCGGAGAAGTCTTTGTCACAAGATTTTCAAACTTTGCATAATGATAAATTAGCACTTGCTTATTAATCAGTTAAAAGCACATGGCATGTATCCTTGTTACTAAATGTATTGCAGCCAGTTAAACATGGAATGATAATTACATATTGCGACTTCACAATTTCAGTCATTTTAGGGGTACTTGTCATGCAAAGAAGAAAAAAAAAATCCCAAAATTACTTCTTTAAACATCGTTGTTTTTATTGTTTATTAATTGAGCAGTACTAAACAATGTTTCCCGAGAACAAATTCTTTTTTGTTCAATTGACATAAAAGATAAGTCCACAATTTCAAAACTATAGGCAAATGAACTCTATTTATTTTCAGTCAATTTTCCACCCTACATTTGTAAATATTTTTCACAAGTCTTTGTCAAAGTGTTTTCAATCTTTAATATGATAAAGAACATACCCAAATGATTACAAAAAGTAATTAAAATATATACCTTTCGCCTCTAACGAATGAGAGATAGGTTATTTACCGATGCTAATATTCTTGACCTTTTAGCACTTACTCGGATTTTCTTATTAAATGACTGTTCGGGGCTACTCTCAGATTAGAAATGTTTATAAAAAATAGTACTTTTGAAAGATCATAATGCATATTTAATAGAGAAATTGTAATAAAACTCCAAGAATATGAATAAGTAACAAATAATTATGAAAAGGAATGCACATAATTTCGTGATAGACACCAGTATCACAAAATGTACACACAATCTACAACACGTACATCTTTGACTTAGACATATTTCATCAAGATATTACACTATTTAGTTGGCAACTTACGATTTTTTAAAAGGATTTTTGCATTCCTTTAGAATAGTTACATACCTTTTACATTATTACCGTAAGTTGTATACATGGCAATTTCATCACACAATATAGTCTTGGATTTGTCAACTTACTTAAGGTCAAGATCTATTAAATGAAAGGTGACTACAGGTTTCTCTTAATCAAGAAATATAAAGTCATTAAGCATTATATTAAAAAATATATTAATCGAATTAAGATTATTTTGGCATGATTTTAAATTGAATTCTGTGAATTACAAAATGCAGTATTTTCTACCATTTCTATACTGAAGCTGTAAAGTACGGGAAATGACATTGAACTAATTATGACGTCATAATGGATCTAGCACAGGCTAAACACATTCACTAGTTATGATGTCAAACGACGTAGGTTCTACGTTAAGAGAATCATGGTCATACCTGGCTGCTCGATATCCGAGATGTTTAAGTAAACATCTCGGATATGATTTTTAATAGATTGAAGTTCTAAGCACAGTCGTGCTTAGAACTTCAATCTATTAAAAATCATAATGATCATGATACCTGGCTGCTGAATACCCGAGATTTTTATCTCGTTAGGGCTTCAATCTCTATTTGCAATCATATTGACTAGATGCTGTCATAAAACAATGAAACCCGCATAAATGAGTTTCCTTCTAAGTATACTCTCCATCTATATAGGGAAGAAACCCGAATCGATCTACAATGTACTCAAAATGTATATATGATATATGTACAATACACAGTCGAGTCTGTGGCCTATGGACCTCTGAAATAATAAATTCAGTATCAGTGTGTAATATCACAATTTAATGAAGAAAATACTTTTTAAAAACGAATTTTTGAAAGAAGGTTTTTGTGTAAAAAAAAAAAAAAGGAAAAAGAAATTAAAGAGGGGGGGTGGCAGGGTGGTAAAGCTTAGCTTATACCTGATACTAGCTGAATTTTAAATACATTGAATATAATTTTTTCAGGGCAATCAGATTTTGGAACGCAGTTCGCAATTCGCAAATCAAAATGAACTGCATTCCTGCATTCTAGAACTCAGTTCGCAATTCAAAATTTCAACATAAGTTAGGTGGTTTAAAATATTGAGGGTAGGGTTCTAGTGGTCAGTTACCACTTCTTTGAAAAACTGGTGATGGTACCATCTCTAGTTTCCGAAAAAAATAGCCCTCCAGTTTTTAGTTCCACTGTATAATGCTATATGAATAAACATTGGGCTCGGGGACATCGAAGTTCCCTATCCCGGGGTCTGAAATTTTGGGGTTATGGTTCTAGTGGTCAGTTACCACTTCTATGAAAAAATGGCTATGGTAACATCTCTAGTTTTCGAAAAATAGCCCTCCAGTGTCTAGCCCTACTATATTATGCTATATGAATAAACATCGGACTCGGGTACATCGAAGTCCCCTGTCCCGGGATCTGAAATTTTGGGGGTAGGGTTCTAGTGGTCAGTTACCATTTCTGTGAAAAAAATGTGGGACAGGGAACTTCACAGAAGTGGTCACTGATCACTAGAACCGTATCCTCAATATTTCAAACCACCTAGCTTAAGTTGAAATTTTGAATTGCGAACTGCGTTCTAGAATGCAGTTCACTTTTGAATTGCGAACTGCGAACTGTTTTCCAAATTTTGATTTTTTTTCCTCTTAAGTTTTTCAAATTATACTTTGTCGCAATACATTGAAGTAGGTGATATACTCTTTATTCTTTGTTTTTCATTGGTTCTCATTTAAGACCCTTGTGACATTGCTCTCAACTTTTAAATCCTCATTTAAAGCATGGATTTATGAAAACAAATATTGTTCTAATACTTGACAGAAATGTTGCTATTTTGTTTTTTATTCTCAGTTTCTCACTGATGATCAGTCGTCTGCGTGGCGCAGTGGTTCGAGCGTCTGCTCTACATAGATTGGCGAAGTAAGGCGTTGAACCTAACGTCGCGGGTTCAAATTCCACTGTGGGACGTGAAGACCGGTCTTTTGGATGAGACTGTATAAACCAAGGTCCCCTTGTCGCAGTATTAGCTGGCACGCAAAAGATCCGTCCCTGCTCAATGGCCCTAAGTGCCGAGTATAGGACAAAATTTCTTCACATAAAGGTTTTACCACCGTATATAATATCGATGTGACCTTTAGACAGAGCTCTACGGCTTTCCAAAGGACCCCATTATTTACTTCACCAGTTATAACATGTCCTGCAGGTCTATATACTAGTAGATCTAGGGTGAAGAAGAATGTGAAAACGAGGTCTATATAGATCTAGGATGAAGAAGAATGTGAAAACGACAGAGTGTAGTCTTCAATTTCAAATATGTTGGAATACAAGACAATTAAAAAAATAACAAAAATGAATTTGAATTAAAAATCAGTGTCAACTTCAGAGTATGTGTGTGTATGAAATTAGAGAGTTTTTAACAATGCAATTTTGTCGACGTAAAACAAGAAGTAAAAATTTCCGAGTTCCCTGTTTATTGATTTACTTAAAAGTCTGCTGGTTTTAATCCATCGTGTTGAATGATTTTAAGAAGTATGGTGTGTCGCGTGATTTTTCCTTTTCCAACTTTCTATAAAGTTTTGCCCGTGAAAAAACTGGTATAAACCTAGGAAATGTTTAAACTGGCTATGGAGAAATGATATGCATCCATAGTACTTGTTTTTGTTATGCCACAATAGATTCAGAGAGAAAAGGGATAACAGTTAATGTCGATTTGAAGTCAAGGTTTGAAAAATAAATCACGTCAAAAAATAACGTTTATCATGTGTTTTAGATATTGAACCCCAAAAGGCAAATAATGTTTGCACAATTAAGCGGTGATCTCTCTCAATTTATAAATCCATTTGCAATATCATTTGCATTGAAAGCCACTGTTCATGACATTGTAAAGTCCTGTAAACAAGATGGGTTTAAGTCCTTACTCAGCTCCAAAGAATCAAATTAAAGTAAGTGTATTAGATAAAAGAAGCGGACGATGAAATACAATGACGTTGTCGGAAGTCATGAAACTAAACGGCCACGGCGCACAGACTTTATAGTTACCGTACTAATTTTATAGCCTGCGTCCACGAACTTTTTGACAATCCCTCGTACATTGGCATTAAGAACATGATCAATTGTGTTACTTAATCAAATCTTTTCTGAATGAATGAAACATGTATATGGAAAAAACGAACAGTTTTCAAGATCAAAAGTCCCTAAAACAATACAAAATAGGAGCAGAGCAAACACGGACCCCCAAAACATCAGAGGTGGGATCAGGTGCCATTAAGAGTGATTATCCCTTGTCGATAAGTCATACCTTTCTCAGGGTTCTGCATCATTTGGAAATTTACTGTGTTGCAGAGTTTACACGAAGAACTAAAATTTTGCGGTATTTTCGCGCTCAAATTCGCAACTGCATCACTATTCATTATAATTACAAAAGAATACATGCACACACTTAGAAATATCGCGAATTCGTTACACAAATGGTATGTTCGTACATATTGATAAAGTGAAAACACATGTTTTGAAAAGCAGAGAAAATTCTGGTTGATACAGTCGAACTACGAGTACTCAATATCATTTTTGAAAGTAAACTTGCCGTGATTTTTTGTCATTTTTCTTTATCAAATTACCGTATTACAAAAAAAAAGAAACTTCAGAATAGTTAAATACTTTTTAAGAGTTCCTTAAAAATATAAAACGTTATATTTACATCAATTAAATGATTTTGGTACGATGTTACATGTATGTTTGACTCACAGTGCCAACATAGTTCTAGAGCCTTGACTCTATGGAAAAGACATATCTTACAACTTTTTAAAAATAATACAATGTATTTTTAATGCAACTACCTATTAACTGTTACAGGGAAGTGTGAAAACAAATTATTTCTCTTTAATTTTTTCCTTCATGCATAAAGTCCTGCGAGGGTATATAAGATATATAATTGATTTTGCAAAGTGAAGCCCCAATGAAGTGCTCTACCTTTTGGTAGAATTCTTTGTTTAAACTTTCAACTACAGAGAATTTATATTTTAATTTTCTAATTATCACAGATCTTTACTGTGTCGACAAAATTTTTACTGTGTCGCACGCATAAAATTT